GCAACGATGCTACTGTGAGAACGCGGGAAGTACCGTTAGTGCATGCGCCATGCTACGTCATTGCTCTATCACGTACGCACAGTCGCTTCGCTCAATATAAGGTTTGCTAGCTGTGGGACGAGTGGGAAACTTACTTTTGGGACTCCCCTCGTACTTAGTCGCCGTGAAAGCTTCAGATCTTACGTCACTTTATGAGACTTTTTGTTTAATCGTTCTCGATGCAGATTCACTATGCATAACATTGTGAAATTCTTCTCTCTCCTCTTCTTCTCACAGATGCAGTTGTGGTTTCTTCATTCCATGCATGGAATTAATCACATGACAGTGCTGTGTCTAATCACACTTAATACATCATAATTAAGATGGTGCAAATTCACAAATTGGTTCATTTATAAAAATGACAATAGTAACTTGGCTTAGTAACTACCTCACGCTACACAGCTTTATCTGTCTTTTTTCTCTTTTAAGAGTCATCCTTTGCATCTCTTCTAGCTGCTGTAGACAATGATGTTGTACAGTTCTTAGTCTCTGTTATAGAATTTGGCATTAAAAGTAACACTTTTTAAGAAGAGAATACTTTACATATTTATTTGGGTACTGTGAGATCTGGATATGTGATTGTAATTCAATATTAGTTGAACTGAAGGATTAATAATATATTTCTTAGCTACATCACATTGTTTTCCCCACTGTTCATGAGCCGGGATAGCTCGGTCAGTATAGTGACTAGCTATGGGCTGGACGACTGGGGTTCAATCCCCGACAGGGACAAAGGATGTTTCCTCTAGCCTCTGTCCAGATCGGTTCTGGGGCCCACCCAGCCTCCTGTCCAATGGGTACCGGGGTCCTTTCCCAGGAGTAAAGTGTGGCCGGGGCATAATGCTGACCACTCACCCCCATCTAGTGCTCAGGTCAAGAAAGAATACGAGCTATACCTCCACTCCCCCCAAGCGCCTGCGTAGGCATATAGCGGGACTTTAAAAAAAGTTTATAGTACTTATAGTATTTTTAATTTGAATATTGTATTACTTTTCCTTTTTTTCACCCTATCCTCCATGATTAATAATTATATGAGCAGTTTTATTCCCAGTGCAGTTAAAACACCTGAGCATCATCTTCACCAGAATTTGTTTTGTTCTAGGAGCAAAAATGCAAAATAACTTGTGTATTAGATATTGTACAGTTGTGAAACTTGCATAGTGTGTGGTTTCTTTCTGGTGGGTGAATTATTTCTGAATAGTAACAGCATATGTATTACCGTGTTCCATTACGTATGAGGAATGTGTGTGTTGAAGATAGCTGACGTCTGAGATGTTATGCCGTGTTGTCTAGTAGACGTTTACTGACATTTTAGAGGTGTTTACTGCCTCCATCATTAGGCTCCTGATGACGGAGGCAGGGAGCTTCTTAGAAACAACTGTAAACTTCTACCACACTACACAGCACAACATCCCAGAAGAAAGTTGTTCTTATACTTGGTGCCATGAGAACCTGAAATTTTGGTGTAGGCATTGTTAAATTACACACTAGTTTCAAATAAGATGTAGTGCTGTTCACAACTTTTGTTTCATTGGGCATTTTCAAGGCTTTGATTACTTTAATAATATTACACGTATTTATGTAGAGTTTACTTTGTAAGTTTTGAATTTAGTAATTTCACAATTGGTTACTGGTATATTTATGCTGTGTTGGAGGAAATAGGGTTAAGTTATCGAACACTGCATTTTTGGAGTAGAAGAAACTATTTTAGACATTTATGCAGTACGTAACTCATTTCATTATGTCACTGAGTGGAAAGTGCTGTGACTTGTTCACATGACTGTTTTAATAATAAAAGTTACCTTATGCTTTTGTCACATTTTCAGTTTCCCCTTCCCTGTGCTTTGCTTAGAAGCTGTGTGGGTAATAAGGAATACTATGTACATTTGATATTCTAAACTTGACACTCATATTATTGGCATTTCACTGTATTTTGCTTGGTTTTATTAGTTTTTTGCTTGTTTCATAGGCAGCTATACTAGTGCTGTGGTGGAGTGTGTCATTGGATTTTATTTTGTATTTGTTGATTTATGTGTTCTTTTTAATTTTTCACTTACAGCAGTTCCCATTGCTTACGCAGAATTGTTTGTTGTAGCATTGCTTTCAGTAGCCCAAAATTTTGGACTTGTACGTTACGTTTAATGGTGACTTTAATGGTACTTAACTGTGGGAAATATTTTAAACCTAGATAATATTATTTTGTTTGCATTTGTAAGGAACTTTGATACTCTGCACCAATGAGGTAATATCGTTAGCAAAGTCAAGACAAAGGTTGCTTGGAATTACTGAGATTTTACAGATGTTAATGGGAACCTCCTGCCATCAGGCAGGATTTTGACTATCTAGTATGAATCTTTGTTCACTGTTGAGCACATTTTATTACAATGGTTTTATTTTTAACCCTGGACCAACTGCTGGGTTTACATGTTGAATAAGATGTTTTAATTAACTCAATACAGTAGAATGTTAGCTATTTTATTTACCATAATAGTAGTTTGAATTGATGGAAGGGTAAAAACATTGGTGGCATGCCATATTTATTCTTCATAATTCTGTAACTCTTTTTCCAACTGTCACAGCATTTTAATGGCCATTGTAATTTAACTAAACCTTATCCTTGTTTTCCTTAAACTAAACTATACTGAAACAATGAAATTGCTTATTTATTATGACAGTCTTTGAATATTTATATTTTTCTTGACCAGAGAAGTTACCAAAATGTTATGAATATATATTCTCATGATCGTATTATTTACAGTACCCACAAACTCTACTGTAAAAACAATGTTACTGTGAACATATATTCTTATTTATGTATGTGTGATGCCGCTTGGTCGCTAGGACCGTGGGTTCAAATCCCACTCAAGCCATGGATGTTCGTCCAAGTTTTTCTGTGTTGTGCTGTCCTATGTACAGGTAGAGGCCTTGTGACGGGCCGATCCCTCATCCAAGGAGTCCTACCG